AAAACAACCAAAACAAAGCGGAGACTCACCTCTTACATCAGGAAGAATTTGCGCGTTTCGAGCGTTATCCGTTCTTTCATCATCCGTTGTTGAATTGAGCAGAAGCTTTTCCGGTTCACGACTCACTTTTTTTTAGCAGCGGCCCAAAACGATCTCCTAACACATGGATGTTCTGCTTCTTGATCACGTGACGTGTGACGTATGCCGATGAAGATCGGCTTTAGAGCTGAGATGTTTGTTCTCACGGTGCGGGTGCTCGTTCCGACGCCCACACAATACAAAAATGCAAATGACGACTTTAGTCGTCGTTGGCAGTGAATGAGTTAATACATTTTTGAAAAATGGTATTCTTCCAATCCAATCCAATCCAATTTTATTTATAAAGCGCATTCACAAGGCATTACAACCAAACAAGGCGCTGTACACTAAAAATGTTAGTTAATTAAACCGGCGTTATACAAACATGTCGAACACAGATAAAAGATCTTAGGTGTGTTCTTGCTGTGTCTTTCTAAATCCATGCTTTCGTTCTGTTTTAAACACAGAAACAGTTTTGTTTACCTGTTAGTAGCTACAGTTTCGCCGACGGCTGCCGGCTTCTTCAGGCTGACGCTGATGGTGGCGCGTCACTTCCTTCTCCGTTTATCTGCGGCCATACATCAGAGGCATAACGGAAAAAATAAGAGCAACAATGAAAAAACACAACATAAACACACCAACAAAGCCATACACAACAGTTAGAAACAGACTAGTGCACCCAAAAGACAAAATATCAGCTGGACAAAAATGTGGAGTCATCTACGAAATCCCATGCAAAATATGCAATAAAACATACATAGGAGAAACCGGACGCCAACTCAATACACGGACAATAGAACACAGAAAGGAGTGTGAGAAAGAGGCAAATCGTAAACACACAAGAGCAGCAAAAGAAGAAGCAGAAAGTACAATAAAAAAGTCAGCCATAACAGATCATTGCTTAAGAGAAAACCATATAATGGACTGGGACAACACACGGATCATAAACACCGAACAACAAAAATACAAAAGATGGATCAAGGAAGCAATCGAGATAAGGAGACGTGGATGTGGGACCATGAACAGGGACGACGGAGTTTACACGCTGGACCACGCATGGGACTGCATCGTCGGAGAGGGGAGAGCGGGCAGTAGAGGGCGACAACGTCCTCTGCTGCCCGCAGATAAACGGAGAAGGAAGTGACGCGCCACCATCAGCGTCAGCCTGAAGAAGCCGGCAGCCGTCGGCGAAACTGTAGCTACTAACAGGTAAACAAAACTGTTTCTGTGTTTAAAAAAGAACGAAAACATGGACAGATAAAAGATAAAAAGGAAATACAACGAAATTCCCAAAAATAACAGCTAAAAATCAATAAGACACAGGGTGAATATAAATTAGAAAATACATTTTAAAAAAGAACCTCAATAGTACGGAAGTCAATAATTGTGGAGTCCATTTTTAAACAGTGCAGATATAAGTGAGGTTCATAATTATGTGGTATATGCTAGGTTGAAGTAGTGAGTTTTCAGGCGTGATTTAAAAATGCTAGCTGTTGGTGCTTGCCTCACTAGCAGTGGTAATGCGTTCCACAGCTTCGGTGCACAGACAGAGAAAGCCCTCTCTCCACGGCTTTTTAAACGTGCATTGGGAACAGCTAGGAGGAGCTTATCTTCAGACCTGAGAGCACGCGGCGGGTTGTAGTAATGGACCAGTTCACACAGATATGGAGGAGCTTGATGGTTCAAGGATTTGTAAGTCAGAAGCATAATTTTGAAGTTTATCCTGAATTGCACGGGCAACCAGTGGAGAGATTTCAGAATTGGTGAAATGTGTTGTCTTCTGTCAGCTCCAGTCAGCAACCTAGCTGCTGAATTCTGTACCAGCTGAAGTCTAGAAAGAGCTGCTTTACGGATGCCACATAAGCAGGAGTTAGAGTAATCCAGCCTTGAAGTGATAAAAGTGTGGACCACCGATTTCAGAAGACGGACACTCAGGATGTGCTTTAGTTTCGAGATGCGTCTTAGTTGGTAAAAACATGATTTAACTGTGTTATTGACCTGCGCATCCATCTTCAGAGCCTGGTCCATTTTTACTCCAAGGTTGGAGATTACAGAGGATACATTAGGTGAGAGATGGTTGAGGTCAGGTTGATGAGTCGCTGTGGTACTGTAAGGACTGAAGACGATTAAGTCAGTTTTGGAGTCATTGAGATGGAGGAAGTTATCAGCTAGCCATAGCTTGACCTCAAGGATACAATCAGACAGAACTTTCGTTGATTGAGTTGGCTTAAATGAAAAGTAGATTTGACAGTCGTCAGCGTAAAGATGGTATGAGACAGCGTGCTTTCTGAAAATGGCTCCTAAGGGCAGTATATAGAGGTTGAACAGTAACGGGCCGAGAATTGAACCTTGTGGGACACCCCAACGTAGAGGCTGTTACTCGGATGAACAGCCATCCAACATGACCCTAGCAGACCTGTTACAAAAGTATGACCTAAACCAATCCAGGGCTGTGCCTGAAATGGCAGCCCAAGTGTGAAGTCATTCTTAGCAGCACCAACACTACTGTGACATATTTTCATGGTTGAATTTCAGCAAATTCAACTGTTGGCATTGTATTTTTTTAACTGTGTTGTGAAAGAGGAAAATAAATTACCTGTAATTTTACAGTGGAATTTCAGCAACCTCGACTTCCTGCGTTTTACCCATGGTTTTACCATAAAAATCTGTTTTTTTAATAGTGTATTCATTTTTATTTGAATGATGTTCCATATGTGCAGTATTTTGTCATTGTATTGTTTTGTGTCTGTTTCATCACATTGTATCATATCAATTTATAGGGAGCCTATCTGCTTCCGGACCATGGGGCTATAAAAGCTATTTCCAAATCCTGTTTGTTATGTGCCATGGATTTCACACATGTTGTCTGTGAGTTTTAAAGATGCATTTTGATGCCAAGAAAGCACTTATTTTTTCAAATGATGTCAAAAGTGGAACCAGACACGAAGAAGAAAATGGCTGAGTTTAACAAGCTTTGAATCATTCTTCAAGGATGACAGACGGAGCATTAAATGTGGGGAAAATGCATGCAATCTTGTAGTCATGCTAATTATGAACATTTCCAAGCTGATAAATCTCAAAGTAAGTGACTTGTATGGTCAAAACACCCATCATTACGTTTCATTTAAACTGAAGTACAACATATGTGCGATCCAAGGCGTAAGGTAAAGCAGATTAGAAAGTAACTCTATTCGCCCCACTGACTTACAGTCATTATTTCATTCTTCCGGGGGCCCATGAGCCGACCCGAAAGGGAGGAGACTTGGGCTTTCTATCGCCAGAAAAAGGTTGGGGAAAATTAGCTTTTGTGCAAACATGTAGCTAACCTTAATTGCTCATTTATTTTAAGGTTTACTGAATTGCGAGAAATGTTGTGCTGAGCACTTTTGCAAAATTGGAATGTAGGGACTTTCAGGACCTTGGCTTCCTTTTTGGAGTAGGCTAATATCATGATTTTATTTTGTCATTATGACTTTTATTAGTATTGTTGTTTTTGCACACATTCAACACAGTGACATTCTCTGATATTGCTAGTGAACAGAAACCTGTTAAAACTAAAGGCAACACCAGTGCCAACAGTTAACATGACAAAAATGTTTGAGGACAATTGTGGTCAAATTTTTGTCTGAAACAAATATAAAAGCCAAATAGATTTTTGGGAAAAAAAAATTCAAGATCCAGGACCAGATGGAAAGAGCCAGTGGGTCTTTTATTTTTTGGCCCTTTAGACACATTTTTTCTCTGATGGGTTCTACATAGAATGAGACTTGGTAACAGAAACAAATGCCCCTTAGCCTGCCAGCCTATTTACATTTTTCAGATGAGAGTGCAAATGGTTTAAACGTTTTGTTTGACATACTATTGAATCTTGGACCACTTAGAATAAAACCAATTTTTTTTATTTAGTTTTGTTTGCTTCTTGTCTTTTTTTTTCACTTCAGCCTGCAGCCGAGAGCAGATCACACTTCTAACAAACAAAAGCTCTGACTTGCCATCAGTGTGGTCCCAGAGGTCTTCTCTTCTTTGAAGCTGGTTTAAACTCCCACCAGAAGTCACTTGTTAGGTGAACAAAGATGCCAAACACATTTAAATGAAAGCTGTGGACCTACATGAAGGTTTATGGCTTTGCGGCCCTTCCTAGATAAACAGGAATGGCCTGACCTGTTTGTTGTGGGGACGATTGAACACACAAACGCTTGGAATGCGCTCTGGCTTGGAGGGGAAACCGAGGCAGGCACACACAGGAAGGATAATAACGCCTATGCTAAATTTCCAAGCATGGCCATTCTAAATAATAGGCTCCCTTGTGCTTTTAACTAAGGTTTGGTGTGGAGGGTGGTCATGGGACTCCCCAATGTGATAGCAATGCACTAATCTGCCTTGTATAGCCCCTTCACATGTGTTCACGCCATTGTTTTCACATTCTAAACAGGGTGTGCAATGTTACCCAAGGGAAATGTCAATTTGCTCTGTAGAATATCTTCTGTTAATTTGTACTTATTTAAAGTTATATTGATATTAATAACAAATAAACTAAGTACACATTGTTTACAGATTAGCATTTTTGTAGTTATTTTTACATGAAAAGAATCAACAACAAAATAAGAACTTTTTATTACAGTTGTTGGAAAAAAGTTATTTACGTGTAAATGCTAACGAATATTCCTTTGGCTTCAATAATATACAGCTTTTTGTTATGAGAAGATTACAACACGTGTTTGAGGGCCTGGGAAACCGAGGATTCCTCGTCTTTATTGTTTTTCCCCTTTAAACCTATTCGGTGCTGTAATTTATTATCCGGTAAACACGTGGGAATAGTATTCCAACCCCACAAGATAAACAACTACTTCGCTTCACGCAGATCTCGCGAGAACCCGCGCGCTGTCAGTGTTCGCCTATTGTGAGAGTTTTCCAACTCTCGCGTTGTCTCTGAAGTTTCCCACGCCTGTTGTTGTGGCGTCTGCCCCTTTTCGCTCTCTCTCTCTCTGAGTGTTGCTGTTTTCCACCGCCTCCCCCCGGTTTTCTCTCTGCCTCCCTTGTCCCTACACCTTCAGTCTGCTTCTGTTGTCTCGGCGGATTGTTCGGCTGCTGTTGGAGAGGAAGGATATCGCGAGTATTGGAGTTTTGGTGAGAGTTTGTGGAAGATGGCGCCTGTTGTGACAGGGTGAGTCTGAGGTTCGGGGCTGGCGGTGGGAGCTGAAGAGCATAGAAGTTATTCAAATGAAAATGCGTACTTTATACTTTCTATAATCTAGCATATGTGTAGTAACGTGTTTCATCCTCAAGTTTAGTGAGCTAAATCTGGGTTTCCGCCTTAACGTGTGTAAGTGTGGGTATATGTCCCCCCCTCTTTGACCAGTTATCGTTTCTTGCCTGTGCTGACTGTTGCTGCAGTGTTTTTGGGTAAGCTAGCCCCGGCTAAGCGTTACTTCACCCCCGGTGGTCTTTTCTGCCAGACAACGGCGCTCGGTTAGCTTGTTGACTAGCCCTGCGATCTAAACACAACCAAAGAGGCACATTTCTATTGAAATACCTCAGCTCCAACATATTTCCTTACTCCAACTCTCACGCAATTAAAGGAAAATCCACTACCCTGTATTTGTTTTCGTTAAACGTGCGCAGCAGCTAGCCAGTGTAGTGCCGAAGAAGGCACCCCTGCCGCGAAAGGCACCCCGTCGTGAGAAGCGCATATGATTACAGTTTGTTCATTAAGACATTACAAGTCAAACGTGACAGATTGATTTGTTTTGTTCATTTCTTTTAAGTAAATTATAGTATGTAGTCATTTAAATAAGATATGTGTGTGTATTTGGGTGCTTTTCGCGATAGGGAGTCGTTTTTCGGCACAACACCTGTCCGATAGTAAACGTTAGCTAGCGACGTAAAACCAAGGTTTGTGACTCACGAATCGCTTTAGTAGTATTTCAGAATCTGACCAAATTTAAATGAGCTTTGTTCGTCTAAAACATTTAGGTTAAAAACAACTGAAATCGCGATTTCAATCTCTTAAGATCCGAGTAGTATATTATCTGAAAATGCATTTTTTGTGGTTAAGCTAAAAATCTACCAACAAAACATGTAGGAATTAAGCTAATTAATTCAATTTCATTATAATCAGTGACGTTTGTTGCTTATTAATTTTGTGAATCTAACTATTTTTCCTGATATTACTCTCCTTAGATTTGTTTATGCAACATGCTTGTTTTTGATGTAAACCCAGGCGTGCTGAAACTTTATTATGAACTCTAAGTGTTTTCAGAAGCCTTGTGATTTTTTTAAAATATATTTAATCCAGCAGCAGATAGTTTTATCTTATCCTGAAGAATGCTTTTTTGTAATTTACCCTGAAAAAACTTCCCTTTCCTTCACAAAAACATGATACAATCTGGTTTTTCTTCCACCATGAGGGCTGTAATCTTCACAGACAGCTCAGTGGGTGACAGACATTTGTGAAGCTTGTTGGAGGTGTGTGTGTGTGTATGGGGGGTGGGGTGGTTTGCTGTTCATTTGGGGGCTTTCCAGCAGACCTGAACCGATTTTAGTTGGGGGGGTTGAGGAAGGAGGCAGAGGGGTGAGAGGGGGGCAAGCAAGAGGGCAGGAGGGTCAGGTCTGGGTGGCTGGCCACCTGTCCAGATGATATCTCCAGATTCATATGTTTTCCTGTGTGTGTGTGTGTGTGTGTGTGTGTGTGTGTGTGTGTGTGTATGTGTGTGTGGTTGCATGATTAAGTGAGAGGTTTAACAGAAAATTGAAGTGCCATAAGGTTTTTTTTTAAAACAGTAACGGTTGGAAAGGGGCCTAGACCTGCTCGGCCCCTCCTTTATACCATGTGAATGTTATTGGTCTTACACGGGGAGGGGCTCCGTAACCACAGGGTTGTTGCTGGTATCCTGACTTAATTTTTCTGGGCTGCAGAAACATATCTGCCCACTAACTCAGTATTTTTTCCTCGCTCAGTAGCTAAATCTAACTTTGCATTGATGATGTTGTGTTGATGTGTTTATTTTTAATTTGCTTGAATTTTCGGGGTGAGAACGATAAATATAAGACTCCTATTATTCTCACTTCGTGCTCAAGAAGTTAATTTGTTGACTTTTATTGTGAAAACTCATGGTTGTTGTGATGCATGGCATGCATACTGTTTATGAAGTTGTGTAGCTTGCAGGAAAATCCTAAACACTTAAAGGGTTTTACAACAATTAGAAAGAGTAAACGTGGCTGTTTTGTCAGAAATGTGTGAGTGAAAACAAACAGTGTTGAGTTTCTTCAGTCAGAGAGATGGATTGTGTAGCTGAAAGAGCTGCACTGTTCACCTGAGATGATAAAAGCATGAATCACTTATTTCAACACTGCCCTGTCTTTGCTGTGCCCCCGAGGGATGGGATTCCATTTAGCTATACCCCCTCTTTATTCCTGCTACCAAGACAGAAATCATCTCAGCTCTTGTGTAACCATACCACTGAGCTTTTTGTTTTGAGACACATACCCTTGTTTCTGTAATTCCACGAGCTTGTGGTTCAGCCTCCTGGCCTGGGTTGTTTTGATCGGATCAAATGAGGGTGTGTGTGTTGCGGACAGAGTGCGTTTACCTACACATTAAAGCTGTGGATGTGCACGTGCATCCTTTCCCCGGGGTCCTCTCCTCTTCCCTGCCTCCTTTTATAAAAAGGAAAGACTCAGAGAGCAGCAGATGTCGAAGCGCTGACCTTTATGGTGGCAAAGGCTCAGATTAGAGTTAAAAGACAAACTGAGTTAACCCAACACACATGCGCGTGCGTGCGCGCGCGCACACACACACACACACACACACACACACACACACACACACACACACACACACACACACACACACACACACACACACACTCTCCCCACTCCTCAAAGCAGTAACCTTATGTCCACCACACACACTTACACTCACACAAAGGTAAATGATAGTGTTGATATATGCTGTCTGATCAGCGTGTCATCCAGACCCCCGGCCCATTCAGTCAGATGTGTGAAAGTCTTCCAGGTGTGTGACATTTACTTCAGTATCTCAGTGGGCTGTGACTGGGATTGCTGAAAAATATCGATGGTATTTTATACTTAAAAAAATCCACAGTAGTGAGATGTTAACTCCTGACTGACTGCTGCTACTTCCCTCACCATCAGGGTTATGGTTGTTGGTTTAATTCTAATCTTTATCAGAGTTCAAGGCCATGGCTGCTATCACCTTGCTATTAGAAACAAGAGAGTAGCAGAGCACACAGAAGCCAGTGTTTTATGTACCCCCCTCCTCTGTTTTCTGTATCTAAGAGGCAGAGAGCAGCACAACGTGACGATTTTGTGATTTTAGGGCCACAGACAAATTATTACCCGAGTTCTCTTGTCCTCATCACATCCCTGGATGTCCTGCTGTTTCCATGTGGGTGCAAGCAGAAAGACCGCTGAGGTTTGATGGCCAGCCGGTTCCAAGTCAGTCCATCTTAGTCTAACCCATGTCACAAGAGCGACATGTTATCCAGGTGAACTCCAGGATTTAGAAATGGGGTTAAATCCAGACACTTTCACCTGACTCCACTGGCTAGACAAACCTGCAATCGGCAACATTTTAAAGGGGGTGTTAGGGTTGTGTATTAGCGAGAGTCTGGCTTTATGACATCACAATACAGGAGAGACGAAATTATATATTGTGATACTAAATCCAGATGATATTTACAATTTTTAAGACTGACTAATTAGAAAACTTGGACCAGCCTCTTCCAAGTCACATCCAATGTGACTTTGTGACAAAATTATGTGAATATGTGACAAAAATCCAACATCGTTAGATCTCGTTGTAGCAGGTGGAATTGAAAATAAATACAGCAAATGTTTGCATGCAGATCCTCAATAAAGGTTGGATACTAAGGATGTCCCAATACAACTATTTCGCTTCAGATAAAATATCAATCCGATAGGCTATCAGCACAAATTATACAAACTTTTACCTATTTCATAGTGTGAAATGTAGGGGAGGCTTGATTAAGTGATATTACTCAGAGAACAAAAGCCAGCAACAGGACGTATGAAAAAATGTACCAACTATTTATTGACCATTGGTTGTATAAATGTAAATCTTTAAACACAATGTTAACAAATGAATTAACAAATAATACATTTTAAAAACACTGAAAAAATATTTGAGTAAATAAATAAAAAGACATATTTTTGAAGTGCAAAGTACTAATTCAAGGTCACCTTAGTTATTTTTTACTCTCAGCTAATGGTAGGAATAGCCAAGGACAGGGACATAAGAAAAAAAAAAACACAATAATGTCTATTGACCAACTGCTCTAAGTTTAGTCTTCGAATCAGAATCAGCGGAGAAAGAAGACATCATGGTGAGTCGGCAACATACCTCGAAAGTTTGGGAGCATTTTGCAAAGACAAAAGAGAGCACGTACATTGCAAAATCCACAAAGTGAAAGTCTTTTATCAGAAAGCAACTCATGGTGGAGAACGAAGAGTCACCTCTGGTAGCTAATTACCTCTTGTTAGCTGCTAACGTCAACAGAGTTACTTGTATATAGATGTCATAGCCATGGCGCTGGAATTTCAGCCGTAGCCTGAGCCAAGGTATGGGAAACACTGAGATGGCACATTCAAGTTATTGAGCTTGTTTGGTCAAACCAGACAGAGCCTGTTGAAGCGTCACACACACACACAGGTTGTCTTATTGCCTTTATTTTATTCCTTTGTTCCTGTTATGACCGTTTGTGTCCATCAGTCTGTGTGTTTCAGGAAAACAATCATGAGACACCCGGGGGAATAGAAATGCACATTTTTGCGTAATTTAGCTTGGCTTGCCGCCAATTTGGCACTCCTTATTCTTGGTCCTTTGCCAACTGTTCAAGTGTTCACAAACCAGATATACAGACACAGAACAGCTTGTACCTGCACTTTTCTTTGCACTGCACTTTCCCCAGCCTGGTAGCTCTTGGTTTTTTGATAACATCTGGTTGAAGTAACATGATGCCTGATAAAGTGGTTACATTTGAGCACAAAACCTCCGGAGCAGACATTTGTTTCCTCGTACCTCATCAATGTTGCCTTTGGTTCTTTGAAAAACCTTGCCAATCCCAGTTAGGGATGAGCCGTAACATTCTGGTGTAAACTTAGAATTGTTGTGGTTTTTGAAGA